AAAATCAACGTTTTAAAACAAATTAAAGTTTTAAATTTTAAATTTTAAAAATGGGACAAATGTAGTCTTTAAGTGTCATGCACTGTATAAAGTTTAATTCTGTTATCTTAATATTTGTATTTCAAAACTATATATAATTGACTATAATTGTTAGCTATTCAATAAATTACAAGTGAGTAAATATAAAGTTTAATTCTGTTTATTTTAATAATTATTTTAAAAGAAAGTATGATTAACTATAATTGTTTAAGTTACTAGTATGAGTTGAAATTTATTTGTTTATTTTAATAATTATATTTTAACAGAAAGTAAAATTAACTGCAGTCAACCCTCTCAAAACTAATATGCATAGTTTATAGGTTTGTATTAGTCATTAGGTTTAAGAAACATCATATAATTAGTTAATATAAACAGTCCAATTAAATCACAGAATTTTTTAGATTCAACTAAATCTGAATTGAGGTTATTTAAGCCTATATTAAATTCAAATGAACTCAGAATAGAATAATTTGAACCTGGATTGAGTACAATAAACCCAGAATAGAATTATTTGAATCTGAGTTGGTTCAAACAAACCTAGAATAAAATTATTTTAGTTCAAATGAATAAAAAACAAGTATAAATCCTATTAGAAACCCGAATATTAGGACTATAAGATATTAAAAATAGCAGATTATCAGAAATTAAGTATAGAACAAGCTTGGTAGATCAATTTTTAATTAATTATAGCAAGTTATTAGTTTTGAAAGGTTTTAATATATAATTATTGTTGCAGCTGATGCTGAAAACGGCTGATACTAAAATTTGGGGTTTTTATTTATATCTATAATACTTACTAAAATCTACATATACTTTTTTATTAATAAAACTACCCTACTAACCCTAACCTAACTATAAAAAAAAAGGCTCAAAAATTTTTTATAATTTTATAATAAAATATGAAATATTTTAGCATCAGCTGCAACAATTATTTAATCATTTATTAATTATCAGAGTGAGTATGAAGCAGTATATAAATTCTCATCTCAAAAGGAAATTACTAATTTACACCTCAGGTGATTATCACCTGTAGTTAATTTTCCAATTAAAATTCAGGATCAGGTGTAATATGTAAATCAATTTTATGTAACAAAAACAAAGAATTTTTTATAAAATATTTATATCTCAAAATTTTGTCAATGAAACTATCTTTTAAGCTAACAAAAAAAATTTCTTGCTAAATTTTACTTTAAAAAAAGCTCTACCCTAACTTCTAACCTCCATCCTTACTCTAATCTTAAAGAGGTTAATTTTTTTGTTTTGATAAAAATTAATTATTATTTTTTATGTATTGTAAATCACAGGTGATAATCACCTGCAGTGATTTTTAATTATTTTTTTTATATTACTATAAAACATTTTATATAAATATTTATTTAATTTATATATAGGGGAGCCCACAGCAAAAGGTGGCTTCAGGCCAACCAATTATATTTTAAGATTTTATATAATAACTACCAAACTAATATTTATCTTTATAAAAGTAATTTTTAATTGTCAAATTTATTAATAAACAAATATATAAATTTAGTTTTATCACTTTAAAACTATATATGAATAATAATCACATACCAATTTTAGGGTCTGTTAAAGCCAGGTTCGTTTATATAATGATCTACAAATTGTATAAATTGCATTTTTGATATATTTATAAAGCAAATAACCCTAGCTGCATCAAAAAACTAACCCTAAATGAACCTGGCTTTAACATTCCCCAATTTTAGCAATGATTTTCTCAAAATTACATGATTATCCAGAAGCACCACCTTTTGCTGGGTCCCCATATATAAAAATAGACTGTGTGCACAATGTGCTTCATGTGCACAAAGTTAATATTTTATTAATAAATTTAGTGCACTATGTGTCTAGAAGTCTTGTGATTTTCATGCACGTTTCTAGCTAAAAACATGTGAAAACTTTTAAAAACAAGTGCTTGAGCACATTGTGCATATAGATTTTATACACTGGTATGAAGTTTAATTCTGTTCACTTTAACATTTGTGTTTTAAGAGCACTGTGTATGTATTAGTATGATTAACTGTAATTATTTATTGTTCAATAAATTATCAGTAAGAGTATGAAATCCAATTCTTTTAGCTTAAAAGTAGAAATCATGATAACTCCGGCACTAACTCAACTTTAGCCCTGTTTACACCGCATTAGAAAATACTTCTGCAATAGAATTCTATACAGTAATTCATGATAATTCCAATACAACCAACTCAACCTTAACCACGTATTATGATGACTGGAATAGCGGATAAGTTCTGTAACAGAAATATTTATGCAAGAATAATTTCAATGTTAACTCAAATTTAACCATCGTGTATACTGCATTAACGAGTAAATTCTGAATCAAAATATAAATAATTTTTAATGCAAGAACTTAACCCTAGCTACATACTGTAGTCTCCGAATAGCGAGTAAGCTCTATAATAATTTTTTTTACCTAGTAAGAGTAAAAATTATGACAATATTAACTCAACAACTGTATACGCCACATTAGTAAATTCTGTGGCAGAATTCTTAATGGTAAACATGGTAGAATCATAATAATTTCAATATAACTTATTCACATTTTAACTATATATTATAAATATTGCAATAGATAATAAATCATGTAAAAGATAATTAAAAGAAACACTAAATAAGATGTGTGGCGCATTCAACCCACACATCACACTAGTATCTCATAATTTCACTGATGAAGCTGCTCTGAGTATCTTAACAAAAAAACAGCTTACAAAATTTTACTTCATATGCGGTTGGTTTGTTCATATCATATTGATTACTAATGTAAATTTTATGTTTTAATCTTTAATTCACATGTTTGTATTTGTTATCTCGGTGGTACGTACGTACGTGAATTTACGTATCATTACCCGTGCCAAATCCCATGCCGATTAGTAAACTGCTGCAAAACCCGTGCCATTTACGGTCCAATTGGCACGGGCATACGGTCTCGCACGGTCCACTGAACCCGTATCAACTCGAACCATACCCTACAAATCCGGATCTTGACCCGTGCCGATCCGGTGCATTTTTCTTATAGGGCCGACAAAGTGGCTACCAACATGAAATCGTTTGACAATGGCCCTTCAATATAACAAAAATAAGTATTATTAGATTATTTGCATCGATACAATCCTAATGGCAGTAATTAGGATTACTTTGTCTGTGAAATAAGATGTTGGTGAAAAATCTGTGCGAAATGAGCTTGTCGGTAAAATAAACTATCTATAATGTGAACTTGTCTGTGAGTTGATTGTCTGTAAAATGAACATGCCAGTGAATTTATTGTCTGTGAGGTGTTGTGTCTATAAAAAAGTGTCGGTCGGTGAAGTGAGCAGGACCGAAATTAAACCAGCAAAATAATATATTTATACTAGTATTCTGTATTCTAACTAAATAAATAAAAACAATATTCTAATAAAATAAATTTAAAATAAAAAGTAAAGTTTAAAAAATAATATAGTTAGATTGTTTAAATATAGCTTATAAAAACTTTTTTTTTAAAAAAAAAGGTAAAAAATTTATAAATATATAATATAGACTTCAAATATATATACCTGAAAGAAAATGATATTTTTGTAAATAAAATAAAATATGAAAAATACAATTTATTTTTATTTTCTTTTTTTACGTATGTAATATCATCTATATTACAAGTACATCTCTAATTTATAACTACTAATGTAATTTATGCACAATCTATCTCTAAAGATCCTAAAACTAATGGTAGCTATTTCTACCAAAAAGTTTCGAAGGTTTAGGAGGAAGCGAGATAAAGTTTCTGTTAAGTATTAAGTCTACAACAAAGTTCATATTTTTTTAAAAAAAGCCTAGAGCATCCTTAATCATGTGTGGTTCGGCAGAAAGAAATGAAAAGTTCAATTCATTGCCTTTTATGCAAAGTTTGCTTAAATTGATGCACCACAGTCAGAAAATACGCAAAAACAGGCATTATAAATTACTAGCCCACGGTGCACGTACTCTTTGCTGCAATTATTCGACGGGTCCGTATTGTTTCACCGACAATCACTTCATAGACACCACATTTCACCGACAAGTTTATTTTGCCGACAGTCTATTTCACCGAAGCTCATTTCACCGACAAGTTTTTTTTTTATAAATTACACTAACTTTGGCTTAAATTCTAATCTAACCCTAATGATATTGACCAGAATTACTTTGTCTGTAAAATGAGCTTCGGTGGAATAAACTGTCAGTAAAATGAACTTGTCGGTAACTATTTGTCGGTGAAATGTGTCTACAAAGTGATTGTCGGTGAGTTGGTCGGATCCCAGATTCATGTCAATTTGTCCGATCTTTAGTCCGATTACTTTAGTCCAATTAATTTAGGATCATAATTTCCATAATGAAGGAGGCGCTTTTGAATAAAGTTTCTTGAGTGATTTGCGTGTTTTGCAATCATGGCCTGTGCAATAAATTGATGAAAGTAGGACCACCTCACAGCGTAAAAGAGCGCATGTTTCCTTCCATGGCAATAAACCATTCTGCACTTGCATCTTCATTCTTGGCGGCACGCGAATAGGCTTTACATCTTAGATGCAAATTTTTTTTTGATTTTGATATATTTGAAATTATAAATTCTATGGTAATTGAGCACTACTGTTAGAAATATATATTATTTACAAAGTCGTAAAGCAGATAGTTTATAGCCTTTCATTTTGGCAACATACATCAAGCTTTACAACTTAATACACACTCAAATAATAAATTATTTGGTATCTAAATTATATGCATAATCGCAAATATATAGTTTATAATTTTTAAATGGACAATTCTTCACTAATGTTTTTTATTTTTTATTTTTTTTACAATTTAAATCTTAACAAATCTGTAAGAAAGTTAACCCTATCAAATTAAATAAAGGACAATCTAGTTATCAAAGATTAATGAATAAAATATTCAAGTTACAGTTACACTATATTTTTATAGCTTATATCACTAGTTAGAAGTTCCACATACTGTAGAAAGACACCATATAAAATGTTATATATATTTCAATTTAGAAAATTTTAGCTACATACCCTTAAGGGCAGTATTACATTTAGATCACGAATTCTTAAACAATAAAGAAAAGTAGTGACAAAAAGCACTGACTTAAAAAAAAAAACATTTATGCATAACAATACTTATGGGAATGAAACCCCTGAAAATAGCAACGTTGAAAATGGTGTACTCTGTAGTGGATTTCCTACACCTTGCATTCTTGCGAATGGATCTGTGCCGCTAATTAGGTCATGCTGAACTGCAATAAAAGTACTAGTGAATAAATTTGCATTGTTCTGGGATCTGAGAGGCGGCATGCCAATATTAGGGGTTCTTGGAAGTTGGATATTAGCATTTCGTGGTCTGCCAATATTCTGAAGTATCTGTAACTGGTCATTATTATTTTGTGGCTGAACGCCAATAATTTGATTGGTTTGGTTCATAATTACAAATTTTTTTTAAAATTTTTTTTTTTGACAAATGTGAAAAGCCTAGAGCTTTTAAGCTTTTTTTTTTTTTAATGTTTACATAGGTAGCATTTAAGCGATCTAATTCAGTTGCACATGAAACATTAGTATAAGTTCATTATATATCGGTACATTAAATTAAACAGTAGGTACCATAAATTTCCATATACAAGGTCTCATAAAATAGTAAACCTATCACGTACTTTTTACTGAAGTGTGAGCCACAAAATCTGTATTAACCAAATGTGTTTTTTTCAAGTATCTAGATTGCTTATTATAAATGCAAAATATGCTTGTTCTTAAAATATTCTTTTGATGACATAAACGCCTATGTGGGTACCTCTTTTATAAGGTGTATCTTCTTGCTATATATGAGTATAGCGATAGTAAAACGAATTATCTTTCATACGGTATATCCATATGTCCATGGTTATACCCATAAAGAAGTACCCGGATCTTGTATACGGTAATTTATGGACGACAAAAGGTTGTTTATTGAGCATGACTTTTATTATTTTTTAATCTGATCAAACCTAATTTATGCAAAAGATGAAAAGGCTTTATTTATTTTATTTTATTTTATTTTATTTTATTTATCTATTTATTTATTTATCTGCATTCTATCTAGTGTTGCCAGCCTTTCCTTTTTTGTTTATATTTTATAACCTGAAATAAATCATTTTTTATACGGTATCGGAAGCACAAAAATTTTTATGCGGCATTAAGCCTTCTATGATATTCCTAATTTGTTGTAAACTGTTTGAAACATCTTTTAATACATGTGAACTATCAAAAAATGATGAAAGAGCTCCATATCACCATCTTTTATGCAATGTTTATGAATTTTTATATTGGTTTTGTGCAGCCGTTAGAAAGTACGTAAAGACTGATAATTGCAAATCACTTGCCCGGGAATATGCGTCTTTTCTGCAATTACTTGATCTGTTCTGCATTGATTAGTTTATCATTTTAAAATTCTTGTTCTGCTAATTTTAAATCTTCCATAAGAGTAAAGCAACCGTTGAACAAAATATCTTGAAGGAATTGCGCTCTTCGTAATAAGAGCCTATACAACAGATAAATCAATGAATGATAGTCCTAATCTCATTGCGTGAAAAAGGGTATGTGCTCTTCCGTAATTATAAAATGATGGACCTAATCTCATAGCATGAAAAAGGGCATGTGCTCTTCCGTAATTATAAAATTTATAGACCTAATCTCACGGCGTGATGCGCTGTTCCGTAATTATGAATGAGCCAATCAGCCCTTGCATCGCTGCTTTTGGCAATATCATGTCAATCTTTACATGATCAGTTTAATTGGATATTTGGCATGTTTAGGATATTAATATTAAGAGACTTAGGGTTTTGTTACTAGTCATAAGTTCAAATAAAATTGTTGTATTTAAAAAATTCAAGTTACAATACGTCATACATCCAAAATCAAAATTCATATATAACGGGAACTTTAAATTACACTTCATATGGGTAATGGACTAGGAAAACCCCTTCGACAGCTAATACTGAAAGGGGGTTTCCTAGTCCATTGTCCATATAGAGAGATCCAAAAATTCCGGGTCGGAATTTTCGGAGCCCTGGTCGGATAGGCCAGAATTGATCAATGTTTCCCAAGATCACCAAGAATTTTACATAGTCGTTCATTAAGCAAAAAAATTCCTAGCTGATAAATTTACTATAGCTCCTGCTAACCAGAATAACCGACCCTAGTCATGACGCATTCCGGCTATTCCGACTCGGAAACTTAGGAATCCTCCTGTAAAAAATTTAAATTACAGCCAAAAATTCTAAGCGCATGCTCCTAGGACCGGGAGATAAGCGTGAAGAGTATACATTTATAGAAAAATTGCTATTTCGATGGTTCACCTGTTTTGATATATTTTATTTTAGATTTACACATTCATATATTATGAATCAATTAATGGGTAATTTACCTCAAAAACATATGGCCTTAGCTAAGAAAATGACTCACTGGAATAATGAATAAAGCTTAAATTTGTAAAGCTTAGTGGGCAATAACAACGGTAGGTTCAGTTCAAAATTTCGGAAATGACCAGAATTATGCAAATCACGAAGATCGTTACCATTAATGATACCTGACGAAACGTTTCGTCAAGCTATTTCTGAATGACGAATTGACGAATGGCGAAATCTATGACGAATGATGAGGCGTTGATGATTGATGAAGCATATAATATCCTTATTTTCTTTCATAATATAAATAAATCAGTATATATAACATTAATTTTTTTCTTTTTGCATTATTTTATCTATGCATTTTTCAATTTTTTTATATGACACATTTAGCCGAAATTATCCGAAGAAAGCTTTACCTCCCGAAAGAGCCCGATTGGCCTACGGAGAAGACCAATAAAATAAACATCGTTACAATGATTAACATTAAATTGAAAAATAATTAAAGGTTTAGTGCATTCGTAGTTCATTTTAAAGTAGCTCATCGAAAAAAATCTCATTTGATTAATGGAATCATCAAGGGCTTCATTATCTGGCAAGAAAACAGTTCATTATCGATTAAATTTACTGTGTTTTTGATATTGACGAGCGATACTTTGGATTATAATTTTGAAAATCTTAATATTCCGTATCCAAAGTTTGTTGCAAAAAAGCTCGTTGAAAGAGAGCTAGCTGTATTATAATTTTTCACTGGTCAAATTGATTCGTCAAGGGTTTTATGAGTTTCGTCAATCGCCAAGGTTTCGTCAAACAAGTATGTTGACGAAACCATTTCGTCATTGAGAAATAGTTTCGTCAGGAATCATTAGTTACCATCCGAATTTGGGAGAGCGTCAAATAGGATAGTACCAAGATAGTTCAGGGTGGTAAACGAATGTATAATATGTCAGGACAGAGTGTAAATGTATAATCATATAAAACACAAAATAATACTAATCTACGAATAAATTATAAACAAACTAAAACTGCACGAAGCATAACAAGAAACTAAGTTTATTATATATTCAAGAGGAGTCTACCTAAGATAAAACCTGCCTCTACAAGAGGGCCAATACATCGGGTTTATATACACGTTCACTAACTATAATTTCCCTTCGATACATTACAGATAGCTCTTATCTATCATATCACTTCGCATTTACCATTAACACCAATTAAACTTTCTCCCTACATCGAGGTCCGAATTAAAATTCATGTCAGAAATATTAATCTCGGAAATCGTTGTCCAGACTATCAACAAGAAGTGGAAGCTCGATCGTAATTAGTGTTCATATGTCGGGCCAATTCGCCTACATGCATTATAGACCGATCTAGTGCGGAAATTAGATGTATGCAATACTAAAGTAGCTATATGTGGAAGTAACAGAGGGTGAGTATAAAGAAACATATAAGAGAGGGACGAATGATAAAAATAGAACAAAGGTGAGATGATGGGAGGACAATCAGAAGTAGGATCAAATGATGATCGTAAGGGATTTTAGTAAATATAAGACAGAGATAAAAATAAAGAAATGTTGCAATATTGGGACGCAGTACTATTATGATAATCACACTGGAAGACAAAAAAAAAGGAAAAAGGCAGTAGCAAAAAAAAAATGTCGGAGACACAATTTAGATATAATGAAAGCTCTAATTCTAATAAAATTACCCTAATCCTAATCTAATTAGATAAATAATTTTAGCCATATCAGGAAATTTAGACTGAACCTGCTGTTGCCATAAGTAAAGGCATGCCATTTATTACATAATTTTTATCATAGATATATGATCAGAATCCTGATTATGTTATACAAAACAACAAATATTATGGATTAAAATGAAATCAGATTAAAATGAAATATTATACAATGTAAAAAAATAGACAAGCCACCGAAAAATAAAAATTTTTGAGGTGCATTTTTTAGGGTTAAGGGTTAGTTTAAAGGTTAGTTTTAGGGTAGAAGTTATAATAAACAAGTTTAAGTGGGGTTTAGAAGGTTAAGTAGAAACACTCATTTCATTTTAATCCGATTTCATTATGATCCGCGACAATTATTATTCACTATTTAAACTTTTTCCTCATTCCTGGCGGCATTTAGACTTAAGTTCGTTTATTGAGTAGCATTTATTTTTATCGCGTGTGTGAACATATAAAGGACACGAATAAGTCCAGGCTCAAAAATGGTTTTTTATTAATAAAATAATATAAATATCTCTTTTTAAATATAAAATATATTTTCAAAAAAGTTAAATTTAAGAACAAAAAAGATGTTTTTAAAAATCGCATTGCAGCTCCTGTAGCAATTACATGTATTGCTATTAGGTTATATCCAAAACATAAAAAATGCGGCTAGTTGAATTATTCATCGAATATCAAGTTAATAATTTACATATATAAACATATTGAATGTGCATAAAATACTATTAAAAATTATTGTCTGAATATAGAAATTTTAAATCAATAAATTTAATGTACGATAGAAATTCATTTAATAAAATCAAAAATATGCTTATGGCGTGATAAAGATATGAATGCATAATTAGAACTTCATGGTACTTGTGCAGCTTCTGTTCTATATTTGTATGAGTAATGAAATTACGAAGTATATGGTTATTAATAATCCGTATATCCTGATTTGGAAATTTGTGAAAGAAGGTTTTTACAATTATACTGCAGGTTAAATATATTTTAATTATAAATACAATTCAATGAAATACATTATGTACGTAATATTGTCTATTGTATGTATATATGGATTCTGTGCCAGGTTTGTGGCTCAGATTATAACGCCCCTGGGTGTTATTTCATGATCGAGTAGTTCAGGACATCTGTGTAATAGGATTTGCATAAACTGGCACAAGATCCATGCGTGTTCATTATATCTCTAATTTTATACTGCTAATATACATTTGCACAATCTATTTTAATGACTTATTACTAATGTTGACTATTTCTACTAAAAAATTCTGAATTTTGTAATTTTTCATAAATGAATTCTTGAAGATAATTACGAAATGTTTCTGTTAATCTAAACTGAGCATCATTATTATTTAATATATTGTTTAATGCTTGATTCCACTCTTTTAAAATTCGTTTTTTTCTTTTTCTTTTAAATCTTATAGATATATCCTTATAATGATTATCTGTGTCATCAATAATTTGCATTGGCAATTCAAAAGTTTTTTCTACATTAAATAAATCAGGTAAATAATACTTGAATAATGGTGCTAAAATATCTTGACTAGTGCACTGAGAGATTGTATCTAAATGTGATGGAAGATAAAAATTTTTTGTATTACAATAAACTTTAAAAATGTTGCAAATTGCTTGAAATTCATATTGATTTATTCCGGTAGGTATGTCCACATTAACATTTTGTTGAAGATTTTTATCTATGCTAATTCGAGCTCTTAATATGTCTTCAAAACAAAGTCTTGTAATCTGTGCTTCTGGTCCAAATTTTCTAAGAACCCAATCATAAAAATTTGATGACAACGTAAGTTTTTTAATTTTAGATTCCATAATTAAACTTTCATTTTTTTTAAAATAATAGTTAAATACTCTGCTGAATGTAGTTTCTGGATTGTTTTGAATGAGTGTATGGAGAAAACTCCAAACATGAGGCTTATTTGAATCGTGCTTAGATTTTAATGATTCTATCAAACAACGTTCTAAGAAGTTTTCTCGGGTATCTTGCTTAATGTGCATAAATGATTCCATTAATGGTTCACCAATATCTTTTAATCTATCTTCAAATAAATAGAGGATACTCCCTATAACACTATAGCTTAGTTGAAATTTAAGTTCAATTAATTCCATAAGTCGCTCAGTGATAACCTTAACTTTTGGTCGAATCCATTCAATTGGTGGATTGTGAGGAAAAAATATGAGAAGCGAACCCTGAATTACAAGATCGTTTACGTCATTGCTGATTTCGTAATAACCAATTTTTTTCCATAATAAAACCAGATTTTTGCAAATTAAAATTGCGCGAGCGATCACGTTTAGCTGTCTATTATTCTCATAACCGTCTTTAGATGGATATTCTTCAGGAATATTTTGTGTATTGCAATGTTCAATTAATTTCCTAGGGGGTCTAGGAGGGAATGGAATAAATTTTTTGTTAAGTATTAAGTCTTCGATAGCGTTCATATTTTTTAGCAAGATACCCGGAGCATCCTTAATCACGTGTGGTCCGGCAGAAAGAAAATGAAAAAGTTCCATATCATTGCCCTTTATGCAAAGTTTATTGACCTCAAATTGATTTTGCGCCACCGTCAGAAAATATGCAAAAACAGGTAACTGTAAGTCACTAGCCCACGGTGCACGTGCTTTTTGCTGCAATGACATAACTCGATCAATGTCTATTTGTCTAACATTATGCGTGAGTTTTTGTTCTATTAGTTTAGGATCGTAATTTCCGTAGTGGAGGAGAAGCCTTTGAATAAAGTATCTTGAGAGAATTGCATGCTTCGCAATCATAGCCTGTGCAGTAGGCAAATCAATAAACGATGATCCTAATCTCACAGCGTGAAAAAGTGCATGTGCTCTTCCGTAGTTGTTAATAATCCATTCAGCTTTCGCCTCACTATTATCTGCGACACTGCGCCATTCTTTACATGTCAGTATCAGATTTAATGGATTTTCAATATATTTAAGGACGTTAATTTTAATGTTAATTGGGATTTTTTCTTGATCCATTGTACAATGATCACAAGATATAAGAATTACTTCACGGCCGCTCAATAAGGCGGGAATAAAGCTAACTTATATGCAAAAATAAACCATTGAATTGTCTTGATTTAAAATAATTGAAAATAGAAAAATGGCGTTACGGAGTTAGAAAATGATAATAATTAAATATTTATTTTTAGCCAACATAGAGTTAGTATATATATTTAGTAAATTGTCACTTGGCTAAATCGGTGAAACGATTGTCAAAGCAAGGCGGTCCATTGTTACCATAGTGAAACTAAAATCTCATTGTACTGTATTAAATACTGAATTTTCTAACAAATGATCCTGTTGTTTCATCTGTGATGCTACTGTAAATTGTTGGGAAATCTGAATCGCCTGTTATGAACGCAAAGAACGTGTTCATTTCAAAATTTTTACATTATAGATATAAACCCTCAGTCATGTACTACACCCTGGGGATTATTTAAAAGTTTTAAAATTGGTGGAATGTAACAGCCCTGGATCTTGTATCCAACTATTTACGGTAACTGCTATGGTATATGTGAAACAAGAACTGCGTTAATGAATGTGAATCACATCAATACTATAAAGCTTTTCAAAGGAATAAAGTTCATTATCTCCGAAGCTTTTTTAAAATTTGCTTTTATTGGATATGTTTAACGGATAAATTAGTAATTTAAATGGGTGTTTAACGTTACAAATAGCAAAAAATTGCAATTTCAAGTTCTTTGTCAAGACATGCTTTATTAATAATTACGTTTGTTGATCTGTTACCATTACAGCATTACAAATTTTAAGACCAACAAAACAAAGAAAACAAATGAAGTGGATACAGTTTTATATATCCTACACTATTTATGGATTATATTAAATTGCAGAAAGTATTTACTATCGTTATAAATAATTATGGTACTTTTAAACAATAAAACAAAAATAAAGAAAATCAAACAAATGAAAATCCTAATTTTATCACAATAGACTATCTGCCAATGATTATCCAGGCCAGAAAATTCTACGCATATAAGCCATGATATTTTGGACACTAGTAGAACTATATGTTCGTAAATTACAGATTTTTGATCAGTTGACTAGATAAAACAGTCCGTTTTGGCGGACTGATTCGTGTTGATTCTTCATTCAGTAATTTCCGTATATGCAAACTGTAATAGATATTTAGAATTTATACGAATTTCCAAAAATTCATGGTGCGCATCTAGAAGACGATACCTCATTATATTAATCTTCGTTATGCACGACGCATTAGGGTGGGCCTCAACTAATTAAATCAAAACATAGTTAGGGTAATATATGAAGATCATTAATTTCGGATTTTTTATAGGCCGT